AGCCCTCCATCTAGTAGCGAAGCATCTCTCTGAAAGCTGTTCCACCAGAAATAATCTTGTTATTGCTTCGACCCATCTTCCCCGAAAATTGGATCCCGGTCTAATAAATCCTAAAAAAAGTCTTTCTCTTTTACTTTTGTGCACTGGCTTACAACCGCTAGTCTTAGAGGGTGAGATTCATCTTGTAAAAACCCACCAAAGCAATTCAATAACACTTAATCATTAACGTGTATGGCATAATGATTTACAAGTTTATCATATAGATGGCCAATTCCGCAATTATAATTTTATATTGCATAAAAATAATATGACATTATTCATTGAATATAATAATGCAATGGCAACAGACAATGAACAAACTATATCATCATGTGATTGATTCAATATAGCATTTGATTTTTCAAACAAAGACAATACATCGAATAACTAGAGGATATATTCGTCTATACTCATATACATAACAGACGATTTCATCAGTTAAATTCAAAAGGCCCGAAAATAGTAGTAACTGGCAACTACATCTTCCAAATTTTAAGAATAACCATACCTTTTAATTCGATCCGAAGATGTCCAATTTGGTGGAGCTATAAGTGGTAGCTCGACACGCGAGGCTCGAAATATAGTAATCAATTAATAATCTGATTTCTGATACAGAGGATCTTCTATAAGACGCAACTGTAGAGCGTACTCTCGTCATATTAAAAATTGAGTCCTATAAGGTAGAGACTCGTGCTGATAACGTGTTATAAAGTAGAGAGAAATATAGAGAACAGAGAGAGAAGATATATTTTTCGTTGTATTTTCATTATAACTGAAGCTCCTACTTATAGGAAAACTTCTTATGGAATAATCGTAATAACATAATTACATCGATGACATAATAGTCATTCACATATATTATTTTATAATAAAAAAAACTATTTGTTAGGTTGGTGGTTAAACCACCAATATTTATAATAGAAACAAATGGACATATATGTGAGATTTCTGAAAGAATTACAATTTATATGGTGATTACTATCCCTCATTAAATGACTCTTAACAAATTAACAATTAAACCATTATAAATGATAAAACAATAAACAACTTATAAAATCGTATAAGTTATATATCAAATTGTTATTATGAAAGAATAAAAAATGTTATATAATGACATGTTATTTTAATTATTGTACTACAATTTGTGCATTTTGTTTTATAACATAAATGCTCACAGTAATCATTTTTTAGTTAATTAAATCCATAAATATTTCCTATATGAACTAATATTATTAATTATTATTCTCCAAATATATTAAACTCGTTTTCTTTATAACATATTACTTAGGTTAATATAAACATGTATAATATTATTCTTTTATAATTTTTATCTTAAATATTTATTAAATAAATATCATAATATAATTTATAACTCCAATTACATTAATGAGAAAATGAATTAATATAAGCTAAGTTTTTATTAACAAAAATATCTTTAGAATTTGAAAATAATATAAACAAGTAAATCGTGGAAATACAAGCTTACATCCAAATCCAAAACTATTCCAAGAATTTGCGTCCATTAATCAAAACAAAAAATCCACTAAAATAAAAAATGAAAAAAAAACCCAAAGGTAAAATAACTCGTTATATCACGACCTTTTACTAAATTGCTAAAACATCATGACTTTTGAACCTTGGCGTAGAATATCGAAGACCTTTGATTTCTTTGCAAAAAGATACACAAAAGTCAGAAATCGACCACTGGTGCTTACGTGTCTGACAAAACTTTATTAACTGGAATTAAAAAAAAAAATTAGCGTGGATATGATTGTCTCACGTGTTCAATGACATGGAAAATAGGTGTAAATAATCAAAAATCAGATTTTTGGAATTCACATGCTAGAATCCCTAATTTTCAAAATCCCTAATTTTTTTTCCATGAACCCTTATCCTAATTCCCCAAAATTGCAACTCGAACTATCGCAATATCCCACAATCATTTGCAATTGAATTTCAATGTTAAACTACTGTACCAAGTAGTTTTGGAAGACATTTTTCTTAATTCAACTTTAATTCAACCCCACTATTATTAATATTATTAATATAATTAAATAATATCAACCAATCATTCTTACACATCACATCAACTCACATAATTTTAATTAATCACCACTTCAAATCATCTCATTATTCATCAACTCACATAATTTTAATTAACCATCACTTCAAATCATCTCGTTCATACTTTTACATCAAATCAACTGTAATATTTTATTTTAAATATTATTTTAATATACAACTAACAACTAATCATACCACTTTTTTAAAAATTAACCAAACCAAACCAAAAAATCCAAACAAATCAAAAAACTTTTATATCCAAGCATCCCTATAGTATCTGTATGAGTTAGATGTGCCAAAGTCCTTTTTTTCTCTATAAAAACACATAAAACGGCATGTACAATGCCTTGGGTCTAATTTTGTTTACATGGCATGTAAATAGACTTAAGTCTTAGATGACATGGACAAAAATATTGAAGAGTAATAAAATTAACTCCAATACAACAAGACTAGGTCTCTACTTGAGTATAAAATAGACTCAAGAATAGACCGAGTCTCTTTTTTTGCTGACACATCAGCAATACCTAATCTAATTGCATTTAGATTGGAGTAAATATTTTTATAGAATGAGCCAATTGAGGGATTATGCTCATATTTTAATGCGCCGATAAAGATTAGGCCTATTTACCTTATCAGTCTAATCATGATGAAAGAGGAGACCATTAATAAACTGAAAGTTCATTAATCCAATACTTGTGTCAATTGATTAATAGTATTATTAGCACTACTGCTATCAAATAATACCATGTGACATGGTATTAGTAAGGAATCATAAGTTCAGGAGCAGCATAAAAGTCAGCAGTACATTGATCTTGTGCATCAGCACTACACAGGAGTTTGTTCAGTCTCACTTGAAAAACCCATATATCTTCAGCATTGAGTAAATAACAATTGAGCACGAAATGCACAGACAAAACCAGTGGCATACACAAGGCGTTCGACTCATTAGTCTCGACTCATCAACCTTCTGAATCCAGTCTCCTCGTTTATCACCTTTGGTCCTGCTTATCATTCCACTCAACTCATCAGTTACTACATATGTACGAGTCTTCTAAAAGAAAAATGCTTATGGCTTGCGCTGACATTTAGGTGGAAATAATATATAGATGTTAAAAAAGAATTGCCTTATTGCTGGTTTGAGCGAACTTTGTGGCTCCGGTTTAGGAGTCGATTTGGGTGCTGGTGCTAATTCTGGTTCTCGGGACTCAGGAGTCTGCTTGGGTGGTACTGACTCTTTACTTTCAGTCGGAATAGCTATATCCTTGGCCTATAATAGCATTTTTACTGCAGCATGTGAAAACGAACTGTCTTCTTAAGACGAAGAGTAGCTTATTAGTTTATTAGTAAACTCACCAGCTTCCTGAACTGCAGATTGTAGAATATGTCAATATATCTTTGCTTTGCTTGTTTTTTCTCGTTATTCAACACTCTCCAGAATCCATAAGCTAACCCCATATTCAAAACCTTGTTCGCGTATATCTTCCATGTATAGCTGATCCAAAAGAAAACAGAAAAGAAAAAAAGTCATCGAACATGTTCAGAAAAATACAACTTTCAGCACAACACTGTCATGCAAATTACCATTCCTCTATCCGCTTAAGTCCCGCCTGCGACATCCTATTCCAAAACCTGCCATCACTTTTACATTTCTCGAAGAAATCAGCAATCTTGTTGCTTGACTCATCCCCGTTGTTAGGATTGATATGGAAGCCCGAGACCCCATCGACTATAATCTCGGCGGGCCCCCCTTGATTCGTGGCAAAAGTGGGCAGCCCACAGTTGATGGCCTCAATAACTGTCAAGCCAAAAGCTTCATACAGCGCGGGCTGCACGAAAGCTCCTTTTGTGTCGGCCACACAACGATAAAGCTCACTGTTTCTATATCTATCAGTTTGAGCAGCTATCCATCTCATCTGCCCCTTCAGTTGGTATTTCTCGATTAGGGAATGCATTTTCTTGATCTCAGCCATTTCTTCCCTGTCCTTGGATTTGGACGGATCAAAAAATCCACCCACAATCACGAGGTTGACTAGGTTCCTTAGTCGTCTGTTTTTACCATACCATTCAGTTAGTCCCGTGATATTTTTCACGGTGTCGAGTCTTGCCATTGAGAAGATTATTGGTTTCTTTCTGTCTGTAAGGAACCCACTGTTCAAGAGAATATAAAGGTTTTTTTCTCAGCAATCAGACAAGTATAAATCAAGTGATGATGTTGTCTAATTACAGAAAGGCTCACATGTCTTTTCTAACCTGTGAATGTAATAATACTTCCACAGATGTTTAAGTAATCCCAAAGAATTCAGGATTATATTGCAACTAGGCTAGCATGTGAGGTGCCTTTTGTAACTATCTCACAATTTAAGGTTTTTTATACCAAGACCAGAAATGCTGGCTAAGATCAAGTAGACGAACTTACATATGCTCCTCATTCTCTTGCTTGCTGTAGAGAAGCTCCTCAATGGCAGGCTGAAATTTCGTGAGTCGTTTTTGTTTCTCGCTAAACGGAAAATATACAGACTGATCAGCTCCAGGGGATGCGATATTGAACTTTGGATCAAACACATTTGTGCCTGAAACCACTCTGTGTAGCCCTGGCATCGTGAATGCCACATGGCTTTCGTATTGCCCAGGCCGATTCTTGCTGACAGGCCAAATATGATCAGTAAAACACAACTTTAGCTTTCAAAATAGCCTAAGAATCCAAGTATTGTATTTTTCTGGATGATAATTGAGTCTTTTGGTAAGACAGAATCTCAAGAGTGATATTGTAGTTTAGCTTACATTTTTACTTTTTTATTAACAGACTGACCTTCCTGCAATTTCTTGATATGTACTGGTGATTATGAAATCAGCAGCATTCATTGTTATCATATCGGCTGTAAACTGGCATGAAAAGTGGTATTTTGAGTCTAAATCCCTCCACTTCACATCTGAATCTTCATATTTAGTCTTCTCCAAAGCATGAGCAATTGTTCCCTAGGATCACAACACGCACATTTTCATTAGTCTCTCTCTCTCTCTCTCTCTCTCTCTCTCTCTCTCTCTCTCCCTCTCAAAAGATTCTTACTATAACAGAGCTTATTTTAAATGCATACCAAAGTCACTCCGAGTTTGCTGCTCACTAAAGAAGCCACTAAGTTCCCATCCGTATAGTTCCCAATTATAAGGTCTGGTTTACGTTCCATCAGCTCAAGAATCTTCATGGTAGCATCCTAATAATAAGTATGAGAAAAGGAAAATAAATGAGTTTAAAGTAGGAAATATATTTAGAATAATCACGAAAAACACCCCCTAATGTTCAGTTTGTTAACATAAACGTCCGGTTAGCTATGCTTGCAATAGTTTCAAAAGTTACTTCTCAATATCTTTTGCGAACAACCTTGAAACAACCCTACATGTAATTACCAAAACTTGCATACTACGTGAATCCCAATAAGTAGTTTATAGTCACCTGAGAAAACTTCTCGAGGTAAGGATATATGTCAAATCTGGAGACCCATGGTCCTAAAACTCCTTTCTCGGTATTAAATGGGACCCTCAGGATGTGAGAATGCATGGTGTTAACTATAGGCTCCATCTCTTGGTTGCATTTGTTCCCTTTTGCGTTTGGGATTAGACGAGTCACCTGCATTACAGAACATTGCAGCATTCTCATTCTATTTGACAAAGTTGTATCTATTTGACATTTCAGAGAAACTTAATAAGCAGGCCATTCATAGTCATACCACAAGAATCTGAGGTTTGACATTCAACCCTTGCTGTCTTATTCTGAAAAGCAATTCTTCTTCCAAGGCTCTAACTTGATCAAGAATGTAAACCACCTGTTCACACAACAAATTTTAGGCATTATGTGAAACTTACACTCGTAAATTATTGAAAGACATAACTACAACAACAGCCAAGAAAGGCCCTCTTGTTTCGGCTAATTACAAAAAGAACTAAGAGATCCTAGAGAGATATTTGAATTTTGTTAAATAAGAGGGAGGATTATGATGCTTCTATAGATGTAAAGCGGGTATGTTGTATTGTTTGTGGCTTCTAAATTATTAGTATTTTTTTGTAATATGCAAAAACCTATATGTTTTTACGTAAGCAGCCCAAAACATTTGTTGTTTTACTTTTTATCAATTAAGTAAGATCTTAAAAGGAGGTATGCACACCTGGCCTCCGGTGTCGGGCAAACCAAGGACATCAGCTTGGCCAAAGTAGCCATGAACAGAGAAGATAACGATGTTGTAAATAACTGGAAGCCGACTGAAAAATGCTTCCATATTTATAGGATCCGGTGCTTGAAGTATTTCAGAAAGTATCTTCATTGTTTGTCTAACTCTTTCGGCATTATGACCCCACCCTTTCTCGAAGCCCCATTCTTTAAGCCTGGACAATAAGTTCAAACAAACTCAAATTGGGTTCTAAATTCTGTCTTTTGACTTAATTAAATGTTCTTTTTATCCAAATCCATATTCACAAGGATAAAGACTGTGTGTGTTTGAGCAAAAAAAGGCTATTCTCTTTGTATTCCAGGCACTTGAAAGAAAACACCCCTCAACAAAAGAAGGCCATTGATTTATCACCTTTGCTCAAAATTCTGGTAAGGAGTGTCCTTTGGAAGAGCAGATACAAATACATCTGTGATTACCAGTGCTGCTTGAAGCTTTGCGGTTGTATTAAGAGTCTCATTGATCATAAGTTTCTGTCAAGAGAACAAACAAAAAAAAAAAACGAAAATGTCAAGAATCTTCAATCCAACTGTTTAACCACACACACACACATACATATTATTTTTCGTGCTTGAACTGTTTTTTTTACCATGTTTCCTACCTCTCCATTACGTTCAAGAGTAAGTAAATAATCGATCAACGGTTTTGCACTCTCAGTTTGCCCACTAAGCATTTTGGTCATGAACTTTGATATGTAGCCGAGTCCATTCCCAATAGAAGATGATACGGCTAGCTTTGGTGTACCAACATCAAATGATCCAAAATCAATCTCCAAGGCATTTTCATCCTTTGCCCTGCCCAGGGATGACACTTACAAGTCACATTATGCCCATGTTTTCTTTGATTAGGCTTAATCTCAAAGTTATCTTGCAATGATTGCATAATTTTGACATTCAATATTTTTTCTTGTGAAATCAGGACATATAAGATGAAATTAGACCTTCAATAAAAACTTCAAAAAACCTGGGATTTTTTGTACTTGGCTAAAACTTCAGTGTTTCTAATGAAAGTTATTCCTTCACACTAATGCTTGTAAAGCGCTCACCAGTTGACATCAAAGATCATTTCTTTGAACTTCAAGTACTCAGTAGATGTGATTTTAGCCACAGAGAGACTCTCGGCATCTACCTTGACATAATCCCAAAGCCCGGGATCGTGCCTTATTGCGAAAGCAACATAAGGTGGCACAACAGCTGCTTCCTGAATCACTAACAAATATTTAGACCCCATAGTTTTCTAAAAAGCTACTCGAGGTGCTCATTAGGTTTTCAAGCAGAAAAAAAGGAAAATGTTAACTGCATATTCATTATTTCAAAAGATTACCGTACTATTACGTAATTAATCTAAACATCAGGGTGGACCTTTTTAACTAGCCTTTTATCCAACTCAAATTGAAATGGCAGTAGAAAAACATCTCACCTGTGTTGAACTCAATATGTCACCCAGTGAACCTTCCAAAATCTTTGATCTTTCCAGTTTATCATCAATGGTTTGCTCGATTTCATCCTTGACGTGCTGGAACTTCATCAGCCTTTTTCCAGAACCAGTTAACCTTCATGATATACGTACCATTCAGGTTTTAATATTTTTCAACGGAGTTGCTCAGGTTTCATTACAAAACATAAAAGTTCGTTGTTTTCCAAAAAGCTCGGTTTTTTCTTTTCTGTTTTCCTTTTCAGAAATTACGAACGTCGACTTGATTGTTCTACACTTAATAAACTTCATCCTGAAAGAGTGCTGCACTTTTGCATCACATTCGTGATTTGGAAAAATAGTGAATCTTTATGTGACTAGACTATAACATTGCGTTAAACGATAGCTTCTGTAATTATGATATTCATGCCCAAGAATTGACACATAGTAGTGATCAAGTGTTTGTTACCTAGCAAAACATCTCTTCATATGATATCGACTTTGCCTCAACACATCCTGCATTGTATCGACTGCGACAGATGAAACCATTGGCTGATGAGGATATGGACCACAAAGAAACCTTTGTTTTCAGCAGTTCAGATTATGTTTTGGTTTCTTTTTCCTGGGTTAAAAAGCTAAGCAAATATACTCTTTATATAGGAACCAAAGGAACACATGCAAGAGAAAAGGAACATTCTTTGGGCCTCATTGTGGTGAAGAGGCCAACGTTGATCACGAAAAGAATTCATGTTAACAAGCTACTCACGAAATAAATTTTCTTTTTTGTCCTGCAAATCCAAAAGGAGGAAGAGAGAGTA